CATTTACGATGCTTATTAGGGACTTTTAGATTTGCACAACGAGAACGTTGATTGCCACGTGTGACATCCTTTTAAGGCAATGTGACATCCTTTTAAGGCAATATGTGACGTCCTTTTAAGGGACTGACAGTGCCCGGTAGTGCCTTAAGAGGACGTCGCATTGCCTTTAACGTCACACATAGCAGTTCACGTTCTCGTCGTGTAAATCTAAAAGTCCCTATTGTCGAAACGTCCGTAGGTCTTATGTCATCTGTGCTCATCAAAAAGTGATTTAATAATTATGAGACGGAAAAAAGGAAAATTACCTAGAATCATAAAATAGCTTTATTCAAATATGCCAAAACTTTTGAAGTCTAGCTTTTCTTTTACGTCCTTAAATAATTGAGCCCAAGTGATTTAACAACCTAAACGGGGTTCTTTTCCAGGAGCTGCAAACATTTTCCCTAGAATCTTAAGTTTTAGATAGTCGATCTTTCCATGAATATATGAATGCTTTTATAGACTTAGAAGAAGAAAAAAGATCCAAGCTCATCGTTTTAAAACATGTTACCTTAAGCTTCTTGCGCAAACACCGACGAGACCAACAGCCCAGGCGAACAACAATGTTAGTGTGCATTGCGCTAGGGAAAGGTTTGTAGAAGGTTTAGAAGACCAGTATTTGTCAGTCCTGTAGGGTATCGGTCTCGGCTGTCGGTCAAGCCCCGTGTCCAGATTATTAAAACAAAACTCTTTCCGTGTTCTTACAATTGATAACTACGATACTGGGGCTGTTTCACAAAGATCCTAACTTAAACTTATCTCTAAGTTGGACTTAAACATTATGGAAAGCCGTTAGCATCTATGAAAATATTTTGTAAAAGTTATTTTGAAAGGCATAAAAGGTTAATTCAAATCAATTATTTTTTATATTATCAAGGAGATCTCATGTTCTTGATGTGGAATTTATGAAAAGTCTAAAATACTTAAATTTTTGCTTTTGAAAATATTTATTTTAAAGCTACAAATTGCTCTTCATAATACTTAAGTCTGACATAGAGTGAAGTGCGACTTAGGATCCTTGTGAAACACCTCCTGGTCTACAAATACTTGGAGTTGACAAATATTGGTCTAATAATTTTGCACTAGAGGTAGAGATGTCGTAGTCGAGTGATTTGAACACTTGACTGGAAATGCAAAGGTTGTGGGTTAATGTCTTTTTGCAAGGCGTTAATCAATATTTGTCATTATATATACCCAGGAGAGCTTTGGGGACCTGATCAGATGAAGAAATCCTTTATGATAGTAATTGCCATAATATATATATATATATTAGATAGCTTAGACAGATACCGAGATGTGATTGGTCCAGAGCTCGTCACGTGATATCAATTGTGAGGATCCAAATTGTTATATTTTCCTGGCCGGTCACTTTTCGGTGTTATATTAACCAGCTGGTGAAATGAATATATTTTTAATCAATGCATGTCGCCCTCTTGAGGACTGTATGTCACCAATTACACACATTACACCATTACCGAGGGTCATTTAATTTTTTCAATATTTTTTTTTCATGAATTTTTTTTTCCCTTGAAATTATTTTTTCCACCTTTTCTTTTTTTCCCAAAAATGCTTTTGGTATTTTTTTTTTTTTTTTTCCCGAAAAAATGCTTTTTTGGTTAAATTTTCTTTTTTTTTTCGTTTTTTTTTTTTTTTTTTCCCCAAATTTTTTTTATAATTTTTTTTTTTGGTAAGGTTTTTTTTTCTTTCTTGAACTGTCTCGACAGATTATTTTTCCGTAATTTCCGAAAAAAAGGGGATTTTTCTCTTCTTCGGGCAAACAATTTTTGGACCCCCCCCCCCCCCCCCACAAAAAAGGGCTATCTAATATAACAGTTATTGACTGGCAGGGGGTATATAACATTCTTTGGACCTGAAGGGAGTTATATTTCCCCTCGTGACCATGTTTTCCCTCAGCGCTATATAAATATAACTCCCTTCAGCGGTCCAAATAATGTTATATTACACCCCCTGCCAGTCAATAACTGTATAATATATATATATATATATATATATATGTGTGTGTTTTCATTATTAGGTATTTGGCGTCATCTATGCCTGGAAGGCGAAAGGCGAACTTAATCGCTGTAACCATCGGGTCTTCCCTGCCGTTATAACTGATTGGGGGCGTGCATGTGAACCACCGTATACACCGGGGTTTTCCCCTACTCTTATGCGAACAGTGCAGTGAGTTCTTAAAGTGCAAAGGTGGTGACTCTACTCTACACGGGGCCTCCATTTATCCGAGGGACGGAGTGTTTTCCACTTAACATAGCCTGCGTCTATGAAACAGGGAAGGGACACGTTTACACGCAGCTCAGGCTTCAGGCATCCACTCGCCTCACGATGACCACATGGTAGGAATCAGGCGCGTACGCAGGATTTTTTCAAGGGGGGGGTTTTAACATTTATAAATCGGTCCGAAAATTTCGCAACGACTCAGCCAGCCGCTGAATAAGCGGGGGGGGGGGGGGGGGGGGGGGGGGTAAGAGGACACATTTTTTTTTATTTTTGGTCCCAAAAAAATCGCAACGACTCAGCCGACCGCTGAATAAGCGGGGGGGGGGGGGGGGGGGGGGGGGGGGGGGGGGGGGGGGGGGGGGGGGGGGGGTAAGAGGACACATTTTTTTTTTTTTTGGGTCCCAAAAAGGGGGGGGGGGGGGGACTCAGGGGGGGGGGGGGGGGGGGGGGGGGGGGGGGGGGGGGGGGGGGGGGGGGGGGGGGGGGGGGGGGGGGGGGGGGGGGGGGTAAGAGGACACTTTTTTTTTTTTTTTTTTTTGTCTCGAAATTTGGAAATTTGACATTTTGCTCCGTTGGGGGGGGGTAAGGTCACCTTTTTTAGGTCGGCCATGGGAATAATTTTTTTTTTTTTTTTTTTTTTTTTAATAATTAAAAAAAAAAAAAAAAAAAAAAAAAAAAAAAAAAAAAACAAAAGGGGGGGTGGGGGTTTTAGGTTTTTTTTAGGGGGGTTTACACACAAAAAAATTTCCAAAGGGGGGGGTTTAACCCCCTAAACCCCCCCCCCCTGCGTACGCGCCTGGTAGGAATACTCCGGAGGGAGTGGAGATTGCGGACAATGTGAATAAATGAATCGATGAGCGGAGGAGTATTGTTTAATATCTATTGTTTTTATTATTAGATATTGTTATTATCATAATCATCATTATTATTCACCCTCAATTTTCAAGTCGCCCTGGTACATTCCCGCTTGTAAATAGTGTGATAATGGGAAATGGGCTGATACCACATTTAAAGCCCGTCTGGACTAGTTTGGCCACGGGGATTAGAATTCCCTACAATGTCACTGGCAGGTGGTTATCTTATAAAATCAGCTCTAAATTAACAAAAGAAAAAGGGGATCATGGGGACCAACAGGCACCGATTGGGCACCGTTTGCTTTAAAGAGAGCGCAAGTAGCTATACGTAGTGCAGCGGGGCTTTAAAGAGTATGTTTGAAATGATGCTTTTAAATTTATTTATGTAAATCGTTTATTGAAGTACTTTAGAACTACGTTCATGTTTACTGCACGCCTAAAACGCAGTGATCGATGTTAGAACCAATTGGAGTAGCATCGTGACAAGAGGGCGACATTCATAACTGACAAAAGACAAACCCTTTTTCTATCGAAGGCTATTAACATTTATTGACTTGGGGTCGGAACATGAACGTGACCCTTTTAAGTTTAAGAACGTGAACGGAAAACGTGCTTCTATTTGTCTGCATGGGTCCACTGTCAACATGTCGAGCCCGAGGTAAGGAATACATGTATGATGATACCTCCCTTCTCTCTCTCTCTCTCTCTCTCTCTCTCTCTCTCTCTCTCTCTATCTCTCTCTCTCTCTCAACAAGACCATGGATCCGCCCCCTGGCGCTGTGAATGTTCCAGCTGCAAACCCTGGGTTATCGCTGACCTTGATAGTCGTTGAACTTTGTTCCTGCTTTACCGGGACAAAAAAACACAACATAAACCTATTTTCAGATTCATGTTTGCCAACAATGTGAGTTTGTTTACCCCTTCTAGACTCAACAATATGAGCTCTTAAAGGAAAATATGTCATACACACGCACATACTGAAGTCCATCAGCAGTGACTGACTTCTTTTCTTCTTATTTTATTTTTAGGGGGCGTACGTGCCAGCGTGAACGTGCCTTCTTGACTAAAGCGAATGGAAATTATGCTTCCTAATTGTTTTTATGTGTCAAATTTCAAAATGTTCTGAGCCCAACGAAACCATGATCCCACCTCCTCTCATTTTTTGTCTCTCTCTCTCTCTCTCTCTCTCTCTCCTTTTCTCTCTCTCTACCTCTCTCTCTCTCTGTCTATCTCTGCTTTCTTACTCGCTCTTTTGAGCCTCATTATATTTAACGTGCATTTAGTTAGCGGGCCTGTCTCCACGGTCGAAAAAAAACACACCTTCAATTCCGCAAAGGTCTCTATACGGATAAATACTTTTCTTTTATGCTCAGCATACATCAACTACTCATCAATCTACTATAATACCTCATTGATGAAGGTCACCATCGGCGAGGGTTTACTTGCAAGTTTTCAATATCATTTTATGATTTGACCATTCTCCATAAAACCGCATGATTTGACATCGAAGTTAAATCAAATCAAACGTGAATCAACTTAATCCGGGTTGAGACAGCTACAAAACTTAAAATATTATTCAATTTTCAATGGTGATATAAATGTATTATAAAGTTTAATGTTAGCCATGGTGGCTGAAAAAATACAATACAACATTACAATGAGAATAATACTATATAGAATATACAATTACCAAAACTTAGATGATACTACTTGAATGGATTGGGTATCTTTTCCTCAGGTTCCAAACAATATCCTGGATTTAGCTCATGCTACAATCATAATTATAAACCTTTAGGTCAGTGAGGAATCCCATGACTTTTACAAGTCGATCGCCTGTCTGATTATCAAGATATTTACGATTGGAAATCGAAATTAATCCTTTTTCCAAACGGTTTTTTAGATAACACTAAAGTCTATTAGGGGAAATGAGTGCGGTAAAACCGGTCATTCAAAGATTTTTATTTGTTTGAGGCAATTCATAATCATTTTGAAAGGCGATTTTGTAATAGGGCTTCAATATTACACTTTGTCACATACACTGCGGATAACACGAAGGGCCATGCATCTCATATTTAACAGTCTTAAAACGATGCCTTTAAACCATAACAAGATAAGAGGATAAGATGATACTATGATAACATGAAATCGACTACGAGACGATATTGCTCATAATATAAGTCTATTTAAGTAATTCAAAACAATGATACTACATAACTATCATCAAAAAACAAATATGAGGTACAGACATAAGATGAAGCTCGAAAAGATGTCAAGCAATTGATTGATTACAAGCCAGTATAGATTTATGTACAAAAGAAAACATGAAAACTTACTGAAGACGATGAGACAACAAAGTTTAAGTAAGTAATTCAAAACAATGATACTACATAACTATCATCAAAAAACAAATATGAGGTACAGACATAACATGAAGCTCGAAAAGATGTCAAGCAATTGATTGATTACAAGCCAGTATAGATTTATGTACAAAAGAAAACATGAAAACTTACTAAAGATGATGAGACAACAAAGTATAATTAAGTAATTCAAAACAATGATACTACATAACTATCATCAAAAAACAAATATGAAGTACAGACATAACATGAAGCTCGAAAAGATGTCAAACAATTGATTGATTACAAGCCAGTATAGATTTATGTACAAAAGAAAACATGAAAACTTACTAAAGATGATGAGACAACGAAGATTCATTAAAATATTAACATTAAAAGTTAACTCAACATTGTTTATTGAGGCAAAAAGGTATTGCATGTACTGGTATTGAACTTTGGAATTACCAACTAAACTGAATTTAAGAAATCAACTTCATTATACGTGTTAAAATGCAAGCTGAAACGTTATCTTCTAAAATAATTATCATACATGCAAAATAAGACATCTGGTCGATGCACGAAATAACACTTCGACAGAATCATGAATATAACGTTATGTTGTTATGTTTATTAGGTCTTCCTCGCTTGTTGTGTGGTAGAATCTAATAAATCCATTCATGTATTTAACGTTGCGATATCAAAATGTTGATTTTATCAGTTGTCTTCTTCGACACATTATTGTAGTTGAATCGTTTTTATTCATTAATGCATCCTGCAATGTAATTCCAAAATGTTGATGTAATTTTCAGCTTTTTTTCGCTCAAGTGGTTTGCTTTTATCATTGCTAAAGCAATACACATGTTTTCTCCACAAAAAGAAAACATCGGTACGTGTAATAAGTTTGCCATTGCGCAGTAGTACAAGCTATAAAACATTACGGTTATCAAAGCATGTAATTGCATTAGTCAAGACTTAAATTTTGCATTTGAATTATTTTCCTTGTAATGTATATATTTAAAAGTCATTCATATTGGATTTGTTTTTCTTTGATTATACCTTAATTCGTACAAACAAATGTTCCTCAATCGAGGAAACGAATTGTTAGACTTACAATTAAATTGCCCTCTGTAGCCTACAACTATAAAAGCATGTGATTGCGGTCACAAAGACTAAGTCATTTTGTGTTTGTATTTATTCAGAATTTAATTAAAAACCAAACAAGTCTGCTAGTTCCGTTAAGTGAGGTACAAGCACGTACAAGGCTACCCCCCAAAAAACATGATAACATTAAACAAATACTACAACATCAATGATATGATAGCAATCAATCGATAAAATATTTTAGGAGGTAAGATATCAAGCATTTATAAATCCAAACGTTTAAATTTTATAGCATGTAGACGTTAAACCGGTGGAAACAATATCATCTAAGGAGAATTATTAAAGTTAAGTATTAAAGTGCAGTTAAGTGTCTTCATCAGATATTATTATTTCAGACAGACTGTGTGTACATGAATGGATAATTGACTATATCAATACATTATGTAAGAAAATATAATAGCATTATTTAAAAAAGAAGAATTATGTTGTTACTTATATCAATATATCCTTATATTTGGAGGTGCGTCTTTAGTGAGGTATAGAAAGCAGCGAGAGTTGTCCTCTATATTGCGTTACATGGGATCATGTTCCAATCGTCGGCAGTCTTTACATGAAACGAGTCCTTGTAGTAATCGTTTTTTTGCAGAAGGTACAAACATCTTCTTGTTGTTGTTATTTCTACTTGTTCTATTGCTGGTGTAATTCTTGGACTGATATTTACTAAATCTTTGATATTGTTATCATTATGTCGTTAAAATCCATATGACCGAGTGTTCTGGGGACATCAAAAATATCCATCTAGAAGCGACATTAATTATGTCAGATGTGCGCTTTAATATTCACTGAATTCATCATGTGTAGACGAAAATGATACACTTCAACACATGGCCCTTAGTTCATGAGCCGATCAGATGGCGGAAAAAGAAGTCCTGACCAGCTTTATGGGGAACTTAACAGTCCGTCTGAGCCAACTAAATGAGCGATGTGTCCGTTGACAGAGTACTGGTTCTGGCTAGCATGGCTGGAGATTAACGGAATGTTCGAGAATGATGTCCTGATAGAGGGGAAGATTAATAGAAATTAAGACACTGACGGTGTAAAGAACTGTGAATAGTTGTGCAGTAGAGCTGCCTTCGTAGGAATTTCCAGAGATATTTTGAGCTAGGGTCACCAAACCCTAAAAGAACGTTGGATACAGCATATAAATGTCAATTCAAGCTGACACTTTAACCTTGGGTGTCCCATCCCGTTGGGTTTCTAATGAGGCAGGTTTCCAGACAGGTGCGTAGATTTTATCAAGCATTTTGTTACCAAGGATCATATCAGCTGCTCTCTCTGCTATCATCATGGTTGGAGCATTGGTGTTCCCGCTCATGAGGCTGGGCATAATGGATGCATCAACAACTCTGAGATTCTGAACACCAAAGACTCGGGTTTGGCTGTCACAAACGGCCATAGGGTCATCTTCGGAACCCATCTTGCAGGTAGAGACTGGGTGGTAGATAGTTTCTGCGTTGGCGCGGATAAAGGCATCGAGCTCAGCATCCGTCCGGACGGCGGGTCCTGGTGACACTTCCTCTCCACGGAACTCATCAAAGGCTTTCTGCGCAATGATCTCTCGGTGAGCCTGATACTTTCTCGCATGTCCCAACGGTCCATCTCGGTGTCAAGGTAGTTGGGGTCAATGATAGGATGCTCTCTGGGATCACGAGACTTGAGCTTAATGGATCCTGAGCTGGTCTCCCTCAATGTGTTGACATGAACCTGGAACCCATGACTTTTTCCCGGTATTCGCCCGTGGTTTTTAACGATACATGGCACAAAGTGCATCTGGATATCAGGATGTTTTACCCCAGCACGACTCCTAATAAAAGCAGCTGCTTCGAAGTGAGACGAGCTTGCCCACCCTGTATGGAACATAAACCACTCAAGACCAATTGATATCATAGTGAGAGGGAATTTCCACTGGGCCTTGTATAGGGACACGGGCTTCGTACAGGTATATTGGCAGTAGGCCTGCAAGTGATCTTGGAGGTTCTGCCCTACACCGGGAAGATGTGCAACCACTGGGATGCCTAGCGCTTTCAAGTCATCTGCATTTCCCACACCAGACAACATTAGCAGCTGCGGCGAATTTATTGCTCCCCCAGACAGAATTACCTCTTGCGATGCTCTTGCAAACTTTTTTACGTTCTTACAGGTGAACTCAATTCCTGTCGCTTTTGTTCCTTCGAACAAAACTCTGTCACATAATGACTTTGAAAGGATCGTCAGATTCTTCCTTTTTCGGACATCACCCGATTTAAGATATGCATTCGAAGAGTTCCACCTGCGACCTTTGTGAATTGTTTGGTCCAGCCGCCCCACACCTTCCTGCTGGTATCCGTTCATATCATATGAGTGTGGATATCCAGCTTCCTTGCCCGCCTTGATGAATGCATCGAAGAGAGGATTTTTTTGTTTGCTGGCGGAGACAAGAAGAGGTCCGCTGCCGCCTCTGTACTCATTTCCACCCTGCTCGTGGCATTGAGAACGTTTGAAGTACGGCAGACAATCCGCGAAAGACCATCCCTCAGCGCCCTCTCGCTCCCACCTATCATAATCCTCAGGATGTCCTCTGATGTAGACCATTGCGTTGATGGAGGAAGAGCCACCTAGGACCTTGCCCCTCGGCCAGAACATTTCCCTGTTGTTCATGTGCCTTTGAGGAGCTGTGTGGTAATACCAGTTGTAGGTTGTGCCACCCATACAGATATATACAGCAGCGGGCATCTGAACCTTCCACGTGTTATCTTTCGGTCCAGCTTCCAGAAGTAGAACCTTGTTGTTAGGTTGGGCAGAGAGGCGGTTAGCAAGAACACATCCTGCAGACCCTGCTCCAACGATGATGTGCGTGTAATCATCCTTGGAATGAACGCTGAAGGATTTCGATTGCTGGAAACCAGCAGCAGCAGGAAGAAAAGAGAGTTGCCTCAAGTTGTTCAGGCCTGTAATTAAGAGGAAAAGGGAGAATAAGAAAGGAAGAAAAAGAGAGTTATCGAAATGTAACAAACGAACTCCAGAAATATACTACAGTCGGTTATTTGAGTTTGAAGGAACAATTTCTTTTGACAACACGTACAAAATTAAACAATGACTGTAATTTTAGGTAACTGTTTTTGAAATCATGTAATAGGTTATTACATGATCAAAAAAAAAAAATAAATAAATAAATAAAATAAGAAGTGAAAATGTATATTGATCAACATATTAGAAAAGTTAAAACAATTCGGTTATAAGCAGCTGTTCTTGTGTATAAATTATGCTGTATTATTGTAAAGCGCTTTCATAGGGACTTCTGATAAATTAAGTGTAAGGCGCTATATAAGCAAATTTAATTATATATGTATAACAGGGTATTTGTTGGTGTGATATTATTCTCTTTGACTGAAAGTGTGCTCCATGACATTGAACAATTATATTACATGACATGTGTACAATTCACCAAAGGGTCATCATATTTCCAGGTGCTAGGCAGTGAGACCACACGAAGGAAATTCTAAGAACTTTAACATTAAAATAAGGCATGTGCCCTAAAAGAAGATGTAATTTTATTTTCCAGTTTGATCAGGGGTGGTGGAGCGTCCTTCAAGTTATAGGACATTTGTCTCTACATTATAATTATTACACCAGGGCCTGTGATCGTCAACTTTTTCTCTTGACGTGGTACAAGATACTGCTTTAGTACCATGTATGTTTTTGCTATCATGTACGGTTGCTTGAACATTCATTTGTGAGCAAGCGAGCAAAAAAATCCCGACCGATTTCGACCGATTCGATTTATTTAAATGAAAATGAAAATTAGTAGAAGGGCATTCCATAACTTGATGGTTTTCAATATATAATTTGTATATTCGCACACGATAAACATCAGAGAGCGAGAATTAAAAAAAAATTAAGAAAATTATATGATGATGAATTATCTATCCGTAAATTTCTGCTCTTAGGTAGAGCAGATTTTAGAAGAAAGACAGAAATGTAGATACAATACTCTGTCAGGTGAGTGCAGTGGCGGATCCAGGCCCCCCCCCCCCCCCCTAAATGAGCGAATTATTAGCCGGCTATTTCGCGCGCTAAATATATTTCTCACGAATTGGGCCCCCTTCCCTACCGCGGCTGGTTCCGCCCTGGGTGAGTAAGTGTGTGTGTGTGTGTGTGTGGTTGGGTTTTTGCAGAGGTGTATCAATCAGATATGATTATTTACGTCTTGGGGACCGACCTTCATGTCACCTTCCGAAAGACGTGACTCAGTTTCGAACCAGCCTCCTCGGCAGCTGGATCAGGCTTATTCCATATATCTTTGTAAGTATTTGTTCTTTGAACTACAGTGGTACTAGATAAATGAGCTATAGACACAACAATCGTAGGCATATAGACACAAAGAATGTAGGCACTTAAACAAAATAACTTTCCCGGGGTAAAGTGAGTGTCCCTGGTGGCCCCCGATACACCAACTCACAGGGTAGTATACTGTAACGTATTGAAAGTGTCTTAGATCTTAGATTATAATCCCCAGGCCAGCCAAGGGATGTGACATGGTTTCACATGGCGTACGTGCTTCCTGAGATGGTGTTATGGCGACTGAGAGATGTAAAACATTCAAGACATTTGTTGTCAAATCTATGATCCGATGTCAAAGGCTGACATTATATTTTAAACATTTAGATATTTCACTCCCCCCCCCCCCAAGAAATAGGCCTCTATTTGTTTTTTATTGCAATATTTGTCATTTATTTCTTATATGGGACCATGGATATGCACACTTTCTGTTGAAAATATGTCTTATTTTAGGACCAAACAGAGCACTGTTTATCACTACCATTAACCTTGTCACTGAGGAGATGTGCACACATTTTCCACCATTTCCCTCCCCAGTTTTTCATTCTGATCGCTTGCATGTGGTCCTTATCTAAACCAATTAGGACAATACTTCTAAAAGTGTACCCAGAGAGTAACTCACTATGTATACCACGTAATTGCAGTTCTATATATATGTAATTACGAAATCAAGCGGATTGCTTCAACATTGAGAGATTGTGCTTAAAAAAAAAACATCAACTAAAGTTTGGTGCGATGCGATATCACCAATTTAAGAAAACTACTACAGATAAAGTAAAAGAAAACCGAGGGTTAAAGATAAGTTGAGTACTGGTCATGCGATTGCATTTTGAAAGAAAAGGTGTGGAATGGATCAGAAAAAGTGAACATGCATCATGTAAGTATTGGTGTGTACTGCAAGGTTCTGGAGTCATCAAAATCATAATAAATTTGGCCCACCGTCTTGGTAAAGGAACAAGCACTGAACACAGAAAGATGTATATGAGACTACGCAAATGGTGTCGGGCTACTAACCTTGATTTCCTTATCTGTATATGCCATTACTCAGCAAATATATATTTTTACCAAAATTGTTTGGCAAATGACATTTATTTGTAATCTTGAACATTCAGTGCAAGTTTCGTTTGATTCTGTGAGAATTCATTTTTTTTTTTTTTTTGCCAGAACTCAAGTTTATCTTTAATGCCTAGATTATAAGATAAAACCGTTACAGGGGATGTCCAAATTCATGTAAATAGAACAACATATCGAGTATGATCCTTGATAACGTATCAACTAAAATGTTGGGGTTTCAATATCTCAAAACGATGTTGTTTTTGCCTGCTTATGCTCGCACGGCTTGTGGTTTTCCGTTCTCGAAGGATGCATCCGTTGTTTTTTAACTTTTCACATTTTATATTGTTTTCGCGTATTTTTGCTGAATTATGTTTGTTAATCGCGCTTTTAGGTAAATGTGTTCTCACATTTAGCAAGAAAGGGAGTTGAGGTTTTTTTTTTGCCGGGGCCCCGGTTGGACTCTCAGTATATGCTTGGGGACCCCTGCTGTTTGTTTTCTGCCAGCTTAGGATCCATTGGGACCGCCGAGGTATTGACTGAGCGCCCTATACCTGGGAAAGTTTAACACTATGATGGAAGATATGGCAAAATCTAACCTTCCGAAATTAAAAAAAAAGTCATTGAAAGTCAAAGATATAAACGAAATTTTCGAAACCGATATTTAAGAACATACATCATGATAAAGATTAAGATACATTCAATCATACATTAACTTCCTACTGTACCGAGGAAAAACAGAGAAAACATACAAACATGCCAAAGGCATGTTCTAAACAAATTCAGAGGCAAATATCGTCACAATCATACTTATACATACACACATGAAACAGTATAAAAAGATATTTAAACAGTATATTTTTCAAAAATTGGGACGTTCAGCGGACCCTAACTATACTACTACTACTATATACTACTACAACTCCAGATAATAGTGCTACTGCTACTACTACCTCTACTACAACAACAACAGCAACTACTACTACAGCTACTACTATATTTTATACTACTACAACTACAATGAATAAAAATACTCCTATTACTACTACTCCTACTACTTCTACTACTCGTGTACTACTTCTGCTACTATGTTATCATTCGAGGCCATATGAAATCGATAGTAAATGTCAAACTTACCTGGCCTAAACATGCCAATGATAGATACATGATTTCTTCTTGGTCAAAATTTTCACACCAAAGAGAACTAGATAACTAGGTGAAGGACCATGAGTCGAGTCCGCGAGCAAGAATAAAATGACATATACGATGGCTGACTGACTGAGCGTGAGTGTGTTCGCTTGTCACAATCTCCAAGTTTTATATATCATTCCCCATACATATAACAAGGGGGAGTCAGAGGCGGTTCCGGAATTT